GACGGACGGACGGATAGATGGGTAGACAGACAGATAGATAGATAGGTAGACAGATGGACAGACAGATAGACAGACAGACAGATAGACCGACAGACAGCTGGATAGATAGACGGATAGACATTTTTATTTTAAAAATTTATTTACTTATTTTCTACTTATTTTAAATTTTTTCTGATTTAATAAATTTTTTAGTAAGTTTAATTTAAATTTGTTTTTATCATTAAATATTTATTTACTACTTTGTACTTATTTTAAATGTTTCTGATTTTTTTTTTTGTATTTTATTTTCATTTTTATTTTAAAATATATTTTAGTTTTACATTTTTATTTAATTAATTTTTAGGAAATTTTATTTTGATTTGTTTTTATTTTAAGATTATTTTAATTTTATGTTTTATGATGTAATAATACTTTTCAACTGTTACTTTAAATTTTAATTTTTTTTATTTTAAAAGTATTTATTTTAATTGTACTTTTTTATGGTTTAATAAGATGTAGTAAGTGTTATTTTTATTCTTTTAAAAAAAAAACATTTTAACATTTTTATGATTTAATTCCTTTTTAGCTTTTTATAAGCTCACGGAAACCCTGTTAGTCCGACAGATGTGTCTCAGCGGTCAGGTCAGTAAGTCGTGTGTTTCCGGTTCTCTGGCAGGGATGTGCTGCGTCAGGCGAACGCTCGTCTGCGTCAGGCGCTGGTCGATGTGCTGAAGACGACGGCGGCGGCGGAGGAGACCATCGGCCGTCATGTGCAGGGCATCCTGGAGGCATCCAGCGTGAAAGCATCAGGTCAGACACATTAACACACACTACTCGTAACATCTCTGATTCGGGTTTGACTTCATCTGAAATCATCAGGGCTTCTTCTACAGCTTCCTGAACGACGACGTCCTGTCGCATTAATAGAAGTCGGTCACACTTTATGTCAGAAGTGCTTGTGTTCAGCTGAAGTGTTGTGATGTGGTTTAGTAAAAGATTTAGAAACGTTTAAAGAAGGACGTGACATCCTGTGTGTGTAAAGTTAATAACAGATGACGGTTTAATGCGTTTGGGTGTGTTCACTGATGCCAAACAGTGCTATTATTGTTTTTATTAATATAAAAAATTTAGTTTGTATTTTATATTTTATTATTTATTAATAATTTTTTTTGTTGTGTGTTTTTAGTGTCATTGAGGTACTATAATGATTTTTATTTGTTTTTTATTTTATATGTCTTTATTTATTATTTATAAATATTTATTATTATTTTTATAATTTTAGTAATTTTGTTGTGGGATTTTAGTGTCATTTAGTGTCATTGAGGTGGTATTATGATTTTTATTATTGATTTTGTTTTTATTTTATATTTTATTATTTCTTTATTTCTAAATATTTATTATTTTTTGTAATTGTAGTTAGTTTGAGTAATTTTGTGTTTTTAGTGTCATTGAGGTACTATAATGATTTTTATTAATATTTTGATTTGGTTTTTATTTTATATGTCTTTATTTATTATTTATAAATAAGATTTTTTTTTATTTTTTATAATTTTAGTCATTTTGTTGTGTGTTTTTAGCATCATTGAGGTACTATTATGATTTTTTATTATGATTTTTATTTTATATTTTATTATGTATTTATTTATTAATACTTATTATTTTTTGTAATTTTAGTTAACGTTTTAGTAATTGTGTTTTTAGTGTCATTGAGGTACTATAATGATTTTTATTAATATTTTGAATGGGTTTTTATTTCATATTTCATATTATTTATTAATACTATTTATTATAATTTTTTGTATTTTTAGTAATTTTGTTGTGTGTTTTTAGCATCATTGAGGTACTACTATAGTTTTTTGATGATTTTGAATCAGTTTTTATTATATACTTTATATATTTATTATTATTTACTGTAATTTTAGTTAAAGTTTTAATAATTTTGCTGTGTCGTCTCATATGGTGTGATGCACTCAGGTTGAATATGAGACGGACGCTCCTGTAACTCAACACACAAAACACCCATTCATGTCTCCTTCATGCCTTTGTCACTGCATCCATTCATCTGTAGTTCATTAAGTCTTAATCTGTTATATCTCTGTCCTGTGTTATTCTCAAAAACATCACGTGCTCGACCGGGTTCAAGCTTTATAGTGTTGGGTTATGTTATAAAGGCCTGCTGGTTTCTGCAGTTCTGATAGGAATAAGCTGTTTTGATGTGGCTCGTCTCTTGTGTCCCGCACACAGACGCGTCCTCGGAGAGCTTTCTCAGCACAGAGACGACTGCTGATGACCTCAGCCTGTTTTCAGCAGAGACCGAGAGCGACGGAGGGCTGGAGTGCTTGCTGAAGATCCAGGGGGCGGAGCTACAGCTGCAGGGGGCGGAGCTCCCGCAGGAGAGGGAGGAGCTTCTGCTGAGCATCAGCACACGACTGCAGAGCGCCGTCGAGAAGCTGCTCATCGCCATCACTGAGACCAGCACTCAGGTACAAAAGAGTTCAGAAACACTCAAAGTTAAGTGCAGACGTTTATAATGTTACAAAAGACTTCTATGCCAAATAAATGCTGTTCTTTTGAACTTTCTATTCATCTGTGAATCTTGAAAAATAAAATGCATCACAGTTTCCACAGAAATATTGTGCAGCACAACTGTGTTCAACACTGATAATAATCAGAAATGTTTCTCGAGCAGCAGATCAGCATATTATACTGATTTCTGAAGATCATGTGACACTGAAGACTGGAGGAATGATGCTGAAAATACAGCTGCACATCACAGAAATACATTACAGTTTAACAGATATTCACACAGAAAACAGCTGTTTTACATTCTAATAATATATCAGTATTTTTACTGTATTTTAGATCAAATAAATGCGGCCCTGGTGAGCAGAAGAGACTCTTTCAGAAACATTAAAATCTTACCGACCCCAAAATTGAATGATAGTGCAAAATAATTACTCTATGCAGTGTTTTTTTACTGTTTTTATTAATATTTTAATAAAAACATTTATTCTAATATTCTTAATATTTAGAATTAGATGTAATTTTTTTAGATTCACTTTTTTCAATTTTAGTAAAAATTGTGTTTTTGCCAGTTTTATTAGTTTTTCTGAAGTTGATGTAGTTTTTATGAATTTAATTCAATAGTTTTGGTTTATTTAGTTTTAGTTATATCAGTACCTAAAGCTAAACTAAACAAAAAAGAAAAATGTTGCCTTGCGAACAAGCTAAAATTAATTTTTTGTTTTTGTATTTATTTTATCTATACATTTCATTTTATATATTTATTTATTTGAAAATTTAATTTAATTTAATTTGACTTTTCGTGTTAAGGTGTATTTTATTGTATGTTTTTTCTGATTTTAGTGTTATGTATGGCTGTTTTTGGCAGCTCAGGATGGAGTGGTTCTGTACTGAGTGTGTGTATGTGTGTATGTGTGTGTGTGTGTGAGTGTGTGAGAGACAGACGGATAGATAGATAGACAGATAGTTAGACAGATAGATGGATAGATAGACCGAAGGATGGATAGACAGATAGACACAGACAGACAGACAGACATAGATAGATAGATAGATAGATAGATAGATAGATAGGTAGACAAACGGACAGACGGATGGACGGTCGGATAGATAGACAGACAAACAGACAGATAGATAGATAGACAGATAGATAGACAGACAGATAGACAGATAGATAGGTAGACAGATAGACAGATGGATAGACAGACAGACGGATAGACAGACAGATGGATAGACAGATGGACGGACAGACGGACAGACAGACGGACAGACAGACAGACAGACAGACAGACAGACGGATAGACAGACGGATAGACAGATAGATATATAGACAGACAGACGGATATACAGATAGATAGGTAGACAGATGGATAGACAGACGAACGGACGGACGGATAGATAGGTGGACGGACGGATGGACGGACGGATAGGTAGACAGATAGATAAATAGGTAGATGGATAGACAGACGGATAGACAGACAGACAGCTGGATAGACACAGACAGACAGACAGACAGACAGACAGATAGATAGATAGATAGATAGACAGACAGACAGACAGATGG